CTGGAGCCAATGAAATGCCCGCAGTGGCAGGACGGGCGACTTGGGCATGGGAGCATTTGTCAGCGCGGTGTCTCTATCTCTCTGCCGGGCCTCATAACCCAGAAAGCATGGGTCCATATGGAGGCGTCAGGCTGAGCTCCCGCTTAGGCAACCCGCCCAGGAGTTACCCAGATCCACAAAAGACTTTGCATGAACGGGAAATACACCTTTGTTGCTTTAAGCCACTGGGATTTATCTGTTTTGTTTTTTGCTTTTGTTTTTTTTTTTTTTTCCCAGCACACACTGAGTCTATCCCAGCCCCTATAGTCAGTAAAAAACAAAGGGTCTGGGTTGACAAATGCAAAGATTTGAAATCAGGATTGCATGACAATGGGTATCGCTAATTCATCTCAGCCACCAGTTTCCTTTATCTTTTTCTTAAGATTTTATTTATTTATTTAAGGGAGAGCCCATGGGGACAGGGAGAGAGAATCTGAAGCAGACTCCACACTGAGCAGGGAGCCCAAGGCAGGGCTCAATTCCACGACCACAAGATCATGACCTGAGTCCAAACCAAGAGTCGGCGGACGCTTAACTGACTGAGCCACCCAGATGCCCCTTGGCCACCAGTTTCTGTCATTTTTTTTTTAAAGACTTTATTTATTTATTTGACAGACAGAGATCACATGTAGGCAGAGAGGCAGGCAGAGAGAGAACGGGAAGCAGGCTCCCCGCTGAGTAGAGAGCCTGATGCGATGCTCGATCCCAGGACCCTGGGATCATGACCTGAGCCGAAGGCAGAGGCTTTAACCCACTGAGCCACCCAGGTGCCCCCAGTTTCTGTCTTTTATTTTGACCCCCATGTGTTTTTACAGACCAGCTCTGGGCCCTTGCCAGGTCACCCCCAGCCCCCTGGAGACAAGCATCTGTCCTCTGGACCTCCGTGATGGGGGAGGCAGCCTCCCTGCCCCCACACTCAGTTGCTTAGTCCCCTACTCCCCCATCCCTCGCCTCCTGAGTCAGCCTCAGCCTCTCTCCCCAGGACCATTCTTGCCAGCCTCCTTCTGGGCCTCTTGGCCTCCAGATTCTGGTCCCTGCTCCCAACACATTGAAGCAATCCAGGTACTGTCAGCTCGCATTCTCGCTGGCCCCTATTGCCCAAGAGATGGAACCCAAACCCACTTACCTGTCTAGAAAGAGGGAAGCCCTCATCAATAGGAGGGGACACCCTAGAGAGATGATGAGACCCTGGGACCAAGCCTGCCTCTCCTGGGGGAAGACACTTCCTTTCCAAGAGCAGGACCTAAATTAAAATGTTTTGCTTAAATCTCTTTGTAGACACGGCTGCCGGCCCCAAGGCCAGTTGGTAAACAAGGAGACTCAAACCCAGGCCAGGACGAGGAGGGAAAAGGAAGTGAATTTCTCTCTGGGTTCTGGGGATGCCGGAGGAAGTGAGTGGGATATGCGGTGGCCTACTGCAATGTCAGGCCCTCCGCCCTTGGGAAAAAACCCTGTATCCAGGCAAAGACATACACTTGGGGACCCAACTATGGGGACCTTTGGGGGGCCCCAGAGAGCTGTTGGCCCCCTGAGTGAATTGCTCAGAACAGGTCCAGGAGCTGCAGAGCTGAGGGAGAGGATAAAGACAGGGGGACAGGCAGTAGCTAGTCTGTCCACTGTCTACTGCAATGAACCAAGGGGCCATGGCCTCGGTGGGAGTTTATGCAGAAAGACAAAGAGAGTCACTGTTGGCTGAGCCCTCATCACGTCTTCATCATACCCCCCAAAGCAAGGCGAGTGGAAACCCACCACTGAGGCTCAGAGAGGCTAAGTGACTCACCTGAGGCCACAGAGCCAGGAGACAGGGCAGTAGAGTCGAGATTCGAACCCCGGGTTCGGAGGGACTTGCCCTCGTTGCTCTGCTGAGAATAACAACGGCCTATTCTGTGGGGCTTGGAATTGTAAAACGGCTTTGCTGGAAGCCCTCCTAAACACGTGGGTTCTGCCAGGGCAGAGGCTGGATTCTCTTCCTGCAGAGTTCTGCCGGGAGGGGAGGGGGCTGGCCACGAGGTCAAAGGCAGGAAGGGACAATCAACAGACCCAGAGTGCCTGGAGCCAGCACCTTCCGGCCCCTCCGTCCAGGCCACACCAGCCCTTAGAGACACTGTCTCCAGACCCAGCAAGGGACATGGTAGGGCCCCATTTTACAGATGGGGGAACTGAGTCTCGATGGGAAAGGGGCCCATCCCGTGCTGGGTTTCGCTCAGGGGCGGAGCCAGGCCTAGAATCCGGACAGCTGTGAGGGAAGCCCCTTCCCTGGACCGGGTGTGGGGCTGGCAGCTCCCGGGACAGGCAGCTTCCTGCTATAAATACAACATTGCCTCGTGGTAACCTTAGCCTCCAGGCTCCCCTGTCCAGGCGCAGGGCCACAAGTCCTGGAGCCGACCGCCTGCCACTCTGCTCCTGCCCTGTGCAGTTTTCTGGACACCCTAACAAGGTACCACATTTTTTTTGGCACAGATTCCAAATTATTTTAGCCAACCCTGAGCTAGGATTGGCTGAGCTAGCCCTGAGCTAGCCCTGAGAAGGGCTGTTGTTCAGATGAGAACCACAAGGGCCTACAAGACCCCCCAACCCCCACCTGTGGGCGAGCAGGGTAGGATTTCCTGGATGGGTCTGGGGAGGTGGGTTCAAATCCAACTCTGCCATGTACCAGCTGGGCAACCTGGGGCCAGTCTATTTGCCTCTCTGAGCCTCAGTTTCCCTACCTGTACAGTGGAGTTCATGCACACCCTCCAGGGATCAAACAACATTTCCAAGGTGGCCAGGACAAGATGCAGCACATAGTCTGTCCCCTCCGTTTTCCTCTTTGGCTGCAGCTCACTTACTAGGGGACGGTAATTATAGTTACACCTGCTAACAGTAAGATGGGCGTTATGTCAAGCAGGTTATATGCTTTCTGCCACTTAATCCTCGTTGGGACTTGAGGAGCTAATGTCCTATTATTGTGGACAGATGAGGAAACTGAGGCCCGGGGACCTTCAGTAACCTGCCCATGGTCACACATGTCATGGCTGGGCAGCTGAGAACTTTCTTGCTACAGACAGAGGCCCAGGGACTGGTTTCTGAAAAGAGGTAGAAATATTTCATGGTATCCTCCTGGACCCAACCATTGCCATGGGGTTGGAATCCTAGAAAGTCTTGACCTTCAGACAACACACTCTAGGAGACCCCCCCAAAACACACACACGCCCTTGCACCCAGGTGTTGCCTCTACTGCCAACCAGATTCCCCAGCAAGTCCAGCACAGCAGAGAAAAAAAACATTGCACAGTGCTCTACAGGAAGCCGAATCCCACGCTCGCCCAGGTGACCCGCCCAGCCAGGGTGGGCACAGCCACCACCGCGCCTGACAGCCCCAGCCCCGCTGACCTTCTCCTTCACTGTACAGGGGCATAAAGGCCGTGTCTCCTCTAGCCTCCTGGACACACACACACACACGCACACACACACACGCACACGCTTGGCGCCCATTCCATCGGCCCAGCAGGCTAAATACTGTTCTGGCCTTCCTGAAATACCCTTCTCTGTGCGGGTGGTTTTACAAGCTGCTAAAAGCAGGGCCGTGTCCCTGGTGGAAGGAGAGAGCTATTCCGGGTTTGTGTCAGGTGCTGGCAGAGCCAGCCAGAAAGGGCCCGTCTGCCGCCCCCCCGCCCCCACACACCGGCTCCTCGGCAGACAATTCTTGGCAGCCTGCACCCCTAATGCCTGGCGGAAGAGGGTGAGGTCAGGCCAGTTTTGTTGGTGTCCCCCTCCCCAGCACACTCTCTCTCTCTCTCTGTTCCAAATCTGACTTGGCCCGGCCCAGGCGCCAGGACTGTCTACCAGACACCATGCCCGGAGGACCACACTGCTGTCCATCACAACCAATCCAGGACCCCCAGGCTGGCCTGACCTGTCTGGGCATGTCCCCGCGTGGCGTTGCGGGACAGATAAGGACTCCAGGGGCCACAGACGTGCAGTGGTTTAGGCAAGAAGGTGCCGCTGGAGCGGCCAGACCGGGAGACACAGGCTCCTGCCCGGGACTCTCCACCTGCTGCTTCCGCGAGGCCATGACTGAGTGCCCCGATACAGATCGGCGGTCACGCGGTCACGCGTTATCACATTCAGGCTTCACAACCACCTGCGGGGAGGGCTGGCGCTGCCTTTTTTTTCACTTGGGGATATGGAGCTTCAGAGCAGGGAAGCTCCTTGCCCCAGGTCAGTCACCCAATGTAGAAGTGAGAGAATTGGGGATTTGAACCTGGGCCGCCTGGAGGAGGCTGTCTGCAGCCCTGGCCCCACGATGGCCAGCTCAGAGGGATGTCCATCTCAGAACCTGCCTTCAGCTGGGGGAGCTGAGGGCGGCCAGCCAGCCGCACAGGCAGTCAGTCCCCTGGGGAGGGCAGAGGGTCTGTGTGCAGACCACAGTATCTGACTGGCCCTCTGTCTTTGTGTCCCCGGCCATTTCCAACCTAGGGGATTTGGGGACTCCTGGAGGGCCTGCCTTGTGCAAGCAGACCCGGGCCTCCGAACTTCCCAAAGGTCTCTGACCTTTGGGGAATCAGATGGAAGCTGGAGGCCCCCCCACCCCAGACACATGTTCACACACACTCATTTGCATGCAGTTCCAGGGGCCCGTGGCTCCCCGTGCCCAGGCATAGTCCAGCGCCCGCGGCACCGTGGGGCAGCCCCTGACTCCCTGGCTAGCAGCGGGAGGGGTTCGCAGCGGGCACAGCTTCCTGCTCCAGCCCCACCGGGAAGCTCGCGGTACAGCAGAACTTAGCTCCGAAAGTCCAGTTCCCCTTCCAGGAGCGCAGCAACCCCCCAACCCCCGCCCACCCCAGGCATCAGCTAGGAGGAAGGGGGTCCAGCCCCACAGCTGCCTGCAGCCTGGGGTGGGGGCACCCAGTGCCCTTGGCGCCCAGCAGCATTGGCCCTGCAACCGGAGCCGTGGTGGGTAAATATAGCACTGCCACTCACCGGCCGAGGGGCCCTCGCCGTCCGACATGGTGCAGGAGATGGGCGGGCAGTCGGCCACCAGCCTGCAGGGACGCTCAGAGCCGTCAGTGGCTGTCACCCACCTGGTGGGGCTTGGGGCTGCCGGGCCTGCTCCCTGTCCAGTCCCCAGGCAGCGTCCCGCCCCAGCTGGCCCAGCGGCCCCCCCCATGCTGGGCTGGGCAGATAAGAACAGGCTCCCGAGCCAGGAGCCCGCCCGATTGGTGGATAAATCTGGGCCCTGCCCTTCCCTGCCCTGGGCCTCTCCCGGGCAGCCTCGGAATGTTGCCTGAGAAACTGTTGCACCCCTGGGTACTTGGTCAGTTCCCAAGACCCCAGCCCCAGCCCTGGAGACCCCAGAGTGCCTGAGTCGCTCTCTCTGGGAAGGGACCCACAGCGCTGGTGAGGGGCTTTTATGGCCACTGTAGAAAAAGAGTGATGCCGCCCACTGAGCCCACGCCTGGTGCTGCCACACATGTCCTCTCACTCGGCTCTCCGGAGCAGCCATGACCCACCCAAGGCCACCCGGCCAGGGAGGGGTGTGACCAGAGCCGGACTCTGGAGCCCGACTGTCTGTCTCCAAGGTTACGGGAAGGCATGGCCCTTGCCTTTGTCTGGCAGACCAAGAGCAGCCACTTCTGGGCACCTCCTGGGTGCCAACTGCTCCTCGTGTGCTGGGGGTGCCAGAGGGGGATGGAGGTGATCGCCCTGGGGAGACACGTGACTCAGTGTCGGGCACAGAGTGGGGACTCAGGAAATACCAGTTGGGAGGAAACATCTCAGCAAGTGCTTAGTATGCACTTGCTGTGTGCTTGCCTAAGAGGTAGCCCAGGCCTTCTCCTGAGTCCCCCACAAGGGCCTGGGCCAGAGACAAGGGCAATGAGGCAAGGGGAGGGCTTTGAGCTCCACTCCCAGAGACATCACCCTGGGGTTGGGCATCACTGGGCCCCCTTAGGGCTCAAGGTCTACCTGGTTCTGCCTGCAGGGCACAGAAGGAGGGAAATGACTTAAAGAGGAGAGAAGCTGGTAATCAACCCCAATTAGATACAGGAGGGCTTCCTGGAATAGCTTACCTTTGAGTTATGTCTTTGAAGAATATGAAAGCTTTTTCAGGGAAAGAGAGGGCATTCCAGGAAGAGACCAGCAGGTGCGAAGATAACTAGGGAAGCCTGGCTGGAGATGGCCGGGCATCCCTGGCAGGGGCTGGAGGTCATGATCATCCCAAGGAGAGGAGGCTGGTACTTGTGGAAGGGGAGGCATCAGGGCCAGGGAAGTCAGGGGAGGCTTCTTGGAAGAGGGGGCAGATGCTGGTGTTCAAGGGTCCATGAGCCTCAGAAAAATGAGAGGGGGGTGGAACAGCATCAGAGGCATACAGCAGCCCTTCAAAGACACTGAGGCCTTTCCCAGCTCAGACACCTGGGGGATGAACACAGGAGGGCCCAGGCCACCATGTTCCAAAGGAACTGCCTTTTGGAGATGGGGTGGGGGAGACCTGAAGAGTCACACTAGCTGTCAGAGATAACAGCATAGGAAGTCAATCCTTGTAAGGTTGTTCCAGGCCTCCTGGCCTTTGCCTGTGCTGTTCCCTTGGTCAGGAATTCCCTGCCCTCCTCCCCCTTCTCCTCCTCTGTGTAGCCTTGTCTAACTGTCCTTGAAGGTGGGCCAGGGGCCCCTGCATTCTGCTGCACAATGTGCCCTCACTGTGATCAGTGCCTGGCCCTGGTTTTGCACACCTCTTGGTTGGCTCTTGTTGTGTGATAATGAGCTCACCATCCCTGGAGGTATGTAAACAGGGCTGGACAACCACTGCAAGAGGACACAGGGGAGGGAGTTCAAGCATCAGATTGGGTTGGTTCAATGCCTTTGGGACCCCTCTAGAGTGACCAACTCGTCCTGGTTTCCATGGACTTTGCCCTGTTTCGGCCCGGGAAGTCCTGCCTGTCTCCTGGGAACCCTCGATCGTAGGCAAACAAGGACTGTCGGTTGTTGTGGGTCCCTCCTGAGATTTTTAACTGAGAAAAGAAAAAAGGGAGAGAGAGAGACGAAGCAAGGCTGGGGCTGTCTCTGGAAGCCCACAGCCCCCTCCCTCTACCCTGAGCAGTGCCCTCCCTGCCTCCCACCACCAGATCCCATTCCAGGGCAGCTCTGGGAGTGAGTGGAAACCGGAGGCAGGTCAGCAGGGAGAGGAGAGGCTCCTGAGGGCGTCCTCACCTGCACAGGGGGCGGAGCCTCACCTGCTGGTTTTGAGGATTACCTGGGAGGAAGCCCAGCAAGAGTGTGGCATCTCTGCAAGGGGCAGCTTCATCCAACAGGGAGGTGCGGGACCAGGAAGGGGCCCCGGAGCCCACCCGCCAAGCCCTCCACTCAGCCCTTGGGTGGGGTCAGACCCGCTCCTGGGGTGGCCCAGGAGGTCGTGGCCCCTTTCCGCACCTCTGCCTCTGCATCTGGGGAGTGCGTAGGAGCACCTCCTGTGTACTCGGCCCTGGACCAGGCTGAGGGCAGGAAGAACTTCAGAGTCCCTGGTGAGGGGTGTGCCTGGTCCCAGGGGGCCACGCTTGGCCCTCGTCTTCTGTAGCACCTGCTCTGGGCAACCTGGCACGAGTCGGGTCGACAGAGGAGCACACGGGGAATGCGCCTCCGGGTGTCCGCTGACTGCCAGTAGCCCAGGCCAGGGGGCTGGGTCGTGCCCAGGGCCGGACACACTTGGTGGTGCCACAGGAAGAATCCCGCCAAGCCCCCTGGCGTCCAGACCGAGGCCCTCCCTCACCTCCACCGCTGCTGGGGCCCCCGCAGGACCGCGGCCAGGATGCACGGAGGGTCAGAGCGCCCGGGGCCGAACGCCACTCCGCCAGCCCTCCTTGGAGACAGGGACAAGCCCACCCCAGCCTCGGCTTCTCATCCGAAAGTGGGAGGCTGCGGTGGGATGAGCCCCAAGGCCCAGATGCCCTGGATGCCCTCCACCTCCCCACCCTGCGGCCAACAGCCTGTCCGCCCCCCGAGTCCCACCCGAACAGGCCGCCCGTGTCCCCCCGCTAGAGCTGGCTCCCTTCGCACAGGCCACTTCCTGTCCCCGACCCCAAGCACTTTCCTGTTGGTTGTTTTTTTATTGTGAGAACATGTGTTGGGGAAAAAACAACTCGATTCCTCTGCTCCTGAGGTCACCACAGCAGCCATGGGCCACGGCACGCATGTGCAAACGTGTGGCTGTGTGTGCGCTGGTGAACATGTGTGTGACAACGCACGTGGGTGGGCACGGGCCAAGTGAGCACAGGCGTGTGCACATCTCTGTGTGGGAGCGCATGTATGCGTGCAGGGGAGGGGGGTGAGCACGGATGTGTGTGGGCGGGGAGTGTAAACACATTTATTGGACTACAGTGGGGCCAGCTCTGAGCGAGGCCCCTTCCAGGCCCTGCCTCACGTCAAGGTCTCAAGGGAGGGCAACATCCCCCCCCCGACACACTGCAGCCCGCCAGCCCTGCTGCTGCAAGGAGGGTGCCGGGGGAAAGGAGGGTCAGGGCTGGCCTGATCAAAGGGGGAGGGGCGCCCCAGCATGCTGGGGTCAGGGAGGAGGCCCGTTTCCTGCCTGCTCACCTGTTCACCCCAGATTCACATGGACACCTGCTGGTCTCAGGAGCCCCAGGAACTCCTCCCTGCTGGAGATCCTGTCTTCCTGGGCCTTGGGCCCCCCAGAAAAGAGAGGCAGGAAGGTTTTGAACACAGAGCCTCGCCTGGGCCCTCAGTGGCCATGACATGAGGAAGGACAGTGTATGTCCACACTGGGGGCCTCCTGGGTGTGTGAGGCCACACTGTGCCTCCTGGGTGTGTGAGCTCGGGCAGGGCCCCTCACCTCCCAGACATTGGAGGGAGGGTGAAGCGTGCGGCACTGTGAGGGCCTGGGCGCCGCGGGGTCTCAGGACCCTTCCGGGGTCTGCTTGCTGCCTTAGGTTCCAACAGACCCCTCCTTACAGCTCAGGTCGCAGCCTGAGACACACAGGCATGGCCGCTGGGACCCACATAAAGAAGACAGGCCGTGGCAGAGAGGCTGCAGAAACACAGAGATACGGAGACACAAGTAGACACACAGACACACACGTGCGGTGTGGCTCTGCAGCTGCTTTCCTACACCCGGGGGTCCCTGTCCAGCCCAGGTGCCTGAGGCTGATGGCCGCCCAGGGGGCCTTGGAGGAGCCCCACAGCCTCCATGCTCGCAGCCCGCAGAGAAGCTCAGAGAGGGGGGGTCCAGCAGCAGGAGGCGTTCCTGGGGTAGGAGGGTGGGGGCCGCTCTCGGCTCCTTGCCAGGCAACATCCTCACCTCTGGGTAGGGGCCAAGGAGCAGCCCTCATTTGGGGAGTTTGAGGGGTGGGAGTGGCTCTGGGGACATGGAGCTGCTGGGGAGGCTCTGGCCTCCTCCTTGGGCTCTGGGGCTCACAGCAGGGGTGAGACCCCCCACAGGAAGAGTGAGGCCTTGTCTGCACAGCGTTGACCCAGGGACCCTCCACACCCCACCTGGGAGGCCAGGCGCCCGCACGGAAGGCCCCAGTGTCCCCCTTGCTCCTGCCTGGCCTCACCGTCCTGTGGCCCAAGGACCACCCTCCAGGTCAGGCTTGGGAGCTCGGCACAGTAGGGTGAGGGCTGCCAGTGGGTTGGGGCTCTGGGGCGCCCCTGCAGGGAGTGGCACACTTGCCCCTGGCTACCTCGTCAGGGCGTGATTACTCTGCCTAGCTGGCCCAGGGTCCGGCCCACCAGCAGGGACTACCTAAGGTGGGCAACACCAGGGGGTGACCATGGCTTCCTCAAACAAGGACAGGAAGTACAGGGGAAGCTGTGTTCTGGGAGAAACAAATGTTCCTCAAGCTCCAGGCCAGGGAAGGGCCTTGACCCCACGTGTGCTCACCCCAGCCCTGATTCAGGGAAATGGCCCTCGGGCAATAAGTCTCCCTTCTCTGCCAGAAATACCCCCAGTGTCTGCCCCTCCCCCAAGCTCAGGTTATATTTAGAGGCGGAGATGCCCAAGGCTGTCTGGAGCCCTGGATGACTTCTGGGCAGACAGGTGGATTTAGGAGTCATCTGCCCCAGGGGGGTGAGAGCCTCCTTTGGGTCCCACATTCATCAGGAAGCCTGCTGAAGAGGCAGGATTCTTGCCCCAGAGGAAAGCAAACGTCCTTGCAGAGG